CGTCTTTTTGTTTGTTTGTGTCGGTGTGTATGTGTGTGCTTATATACTTATATTTATTTATAAGTGTGACTATGTTAGCGTGCGTGTATGTGTGTGTTTGTTTGCGTGTGTGTGCATGTGTTTATTTGTGTGTGTGTGTGTTTGTTTGTGTGTGGATATCTTTCTAGAGCATTTTTCATAGGCGCAAGTAGTCTCTGGTCCATTCCGGGGGTCGGCAGATTCGGTCATTTCGCCATCATACAACATCGTCAACGTTGTCATTTTCGCGCCAATTTTTTCGCGCGCCATCCCGCGAACTCTCCTGAGACAAGAAGTAAAGATAATTATTCGCCTCCGTTTTTTTTCCCGCGTTTTTTTTACATCTCGTCATCGCTTGTTTCTCTCTCCCTCTCTCTCTCTCTCTCTTTCTCTCTCTCTGCCTATTTCTTTTTTTCTCTTTTTCTGTATGTCTATCTTTCTCCCCCTCTCTCTTTCTTTTTCTCTCTCTCTCCCTCTCTCTCTCTCTCTCTCTGTCTATGTCTGCCTTTCTCTCTGTCTGTTTCTCGTTTCTCTCTCTCATTCCCTCTTTTGTATTTGTGATCAAATATAAATCAATAATGAATATAAGTTTTTATACTTATTATTGAAAAGTTGGCTAAACCATATTATCAGTTTTTTGGTGCCAATACATAAATTATGCTTTGCCAGGATGTCCTTTTTTGTTAAATTTCTGATGTAAACATGTGAATCACAATGAATATGAGTAGAGAAAATGAATAAATAAATGGTTAGAAAGTAAAAAATTATAAAATTTTTTCTCATTTTTCTCCATATCTCATTTTAATTTTTTAAAATGCCTGCTTATGTAAGCACACTTTTCTTTGTATGTTTGTATGTGTTTTGTGGGTATGTTTTTGCGTTTGTTTGTGTTTGTTTGTGTTTGTGTATGATGTGTGTGGGTGTGTATGTTAATATCTGCAAGTGTGTATGTATATTTGCTTGCTTGTTTGTTTGTTTGTGTGTGTGTGTGTGTGTGTAAATAAATGTGTGTATATCTGTGTATGTTTGAGTTTGTATTGTTGTGTATGTGTATATGTATGTATGTATGCGTGTGTGTGTGTGTGTGTGTGTGTGTGTGTGTGTGTGTGGTGTTTGTGTGGTCCTTTGGTGATGTTTAGTTCTTATCTACATGTCAATAAATATAATGACCAGTTTGTTGTGTATATTTGTTGTCTCTGTTCTGTGTGTGTGTGTACGTGTGTGTGTTGTGTGTGTACGTGTGTGTGTGTGTGTGTGTGTGTGTGTGTGTGTGTATGTGTGTGTGTGTGTGTGTGCTTGCCTTCAAACTCATGAATGAATGAATGAATGAATGAATGAATGAATGAATGAATGAATGAATGAATGAATGAATGAATGAATGAATGAATGAATAAATGAATTAATGAATGAATTAATGAATGAGTTTTATCAAGCAGTGAAGTACTTGGATAACTCACGTTCTCAATGAACTGTGCGATTCAGTTGAGATAGGAAAGCTTGAAAAGGCGATTTTGATGACGACGACGACGATGATGACGATACTAATGATGATGATGGTAATGATAATAATGATGATGATGATGATGATGCAAGACAATGATATTGATGGTGATGATAACGATGATGGTGATGAATGATGATGATGATGACGACCATGATGTGCACATACATGTTAGCGGTTGTATGAATGTTTGTATTTGAAAGTTCAGGCTCTTGCATTTGCATACGTTTATATGTATTTTCAAAGATAATAAAAAACAAGATCGTCGTGTCGTCATAATCGTCAACAACAGTAGCATCAACAACTACAACAACAACAACAACATCAACGACATCAGCAACAACAACAAAAACAACGATGAAAACAACAACAAAAACAGAGACGACGACAAAAACAACAGCAGCAACAACAACAACAGCAGCATTGAAAACAACAACAACAGCAGCATCAACGGCATCAATAACAACAAGAACAACAACATCAAATGTTGGCGTCCCATAACTGACTTAAATAAACTTTTAAATTGAAATTCTTCATGTTATAGCCCCCGGTATTAATACGTAGCCATTTTCCATAAAATTTTCTTCAATGTGATATTTCAAAAAAAGAGTGTTTGTGTGCGTGTGTGTGTTTGTGTGCGTGTGTGTGTTTGTGTGCGTGTGTGTGTTTGTGTGCGTGTGTGTGTATGTGTGGGTGTATGTGTATGTGTGTCTGTGTGTGTGTATGTGTGCGTGTATATGTGTCTGTGGTGTGTATCACTGTATCACGTGAACAGGAATATCTCAAAAAAAGAGTATTTAGTGTGTGTTTGTGTGCGTGTGTATGTGTCGGTATGTGTGTATGTGTCGGTATGTGTGTTTGTGTATATGTGTGTGTGTGTGTATGTGTGTGTGTGTGTGTGTGTGTGTGTGTGTGTGTGTGTGTGTGTGTGTGTGTGTGTGTGTGTGTGTGTGTGGTATGTGTATCACTGTATCACGTAAACGGATATAACTGAATGGAATTCTATTGTTTGCTAAAAAATTTTATTGTTCAATTAATTATATCAGAAGTCATACAAGTTCTTTGCGGTGACCACCATCATCATCATTCATCATCCTCTCTCATTATCATCATGACCATAATCATACCTCTTATAATCATTATCAACCTTATTATCATCGTTATCAACATCATCGTCCAGTCGCTTCAAACCTCTTTCAATAATTGCCACTCTTATCATCATCATCATCATCGTCTTCGTCTTCATCATCATCATCATCATCGTCTTCGTCTTCATCATCGTCATCATCATCGTCTTCGTCTTCATCATCATCATCATCATCGTCTTCGTCTTCATCATCGTCATCATCATCGTCTTCGTCTTCATCATCATCATCATCATCGTCTTCGTCTTCATCATCATCATCATCATCATCGTCTTCGTCTTCATCATCGTCATCATCATCGTCTTCGTCTTCATCATCATCATCATCATCGTCTTCGTCTTCATCATCGTCATCATCATCGTCTTCGTCTTCATCATCATCATCATCATCGTCTTCGTCTTCATCATCGTCATCATCATCGTCTTCGTCTTCATCATCGTCATCATCATCGTCTTCGTCTTCATCATCGTCATCATCATCGTCTTCGTCTTCATCATCGTCATCATCATCGTCTTCGTCTTCATCATCGTCATCATCATCGTCTTCGTCTTCATCATCGTCATCATCATCGTCTTCGTCTTCATCATCATCATCATCATCGTCTTCGTCTTCATCATCATCATCATCATCATCGTCTTCGTCTTCATCATCGTCATCATCATCGTCTTCGTCTTCATCATCATCATCATC